CATCTATGGATGAGAAGGACAAGGACATCATGTCGAAAGACTTCGGGGACAGGCCCTGGGAGCGCGACGCTGGAACCTTGACATGGTGCAATCGCCCTCGGTTATACTGGGTAACATGGGAAATCAGGGAGACGGAGCCGGAGGTGAAGGTGACCGGACGCCGTCTGACCCTGAGCAACGATCGGGGCTGGGAAAAGTCAGTGGAAGCAGGGTGGACAAAGGTCGACCCCACTCAGTCATTTCCCACCTTCACCACCTCAAGACCTCGAGACAGCAGAGGACACCGGCCCGCAGGCATTGCCGCTTGTGATGAGGAGACGATCAGGCGATGGGAGTGCGACAGGCATCGTTTCCCACCTTACCAATACCTTCCCAGGCACTGTTTACAAAACCGACGAGGGGACCTTCGCTTGCCAACCATACACGAGAGGGAATACATGATGGGTCTACCCGTAGGATACACTCAAATGTGCATGGTGAAGTCTCAGCGCAAGAAAGAGGAGTTCCTTGACAAGAGGTTGACTTTGGTAGGAAACGCCTGGTCCGTTCCGGTAGTTGCATGGCTCATTGTGGACAATTACTTGGAGCTCGGGGTTTTTGCCCTGATTTGACGCCGTCACAGGTGTTGGACCGCTTGGACGTGGAGACAAACCCCTTCATACAGTCTCGGTTGATGCGTGCTCCACTACGCCCAAACTTACAGCCGGATGAGACCTCGGAGCAGGGGTTGGTTGAACAACTCGGACGCCTTGTTTCCACCAAAGGATCTGACCTTATGCTCACGAGTTCGAAGTGCCTGCACCTCAGGGGCCACCTCCCCCGCCGTTTCGTCAACGAGTTCGTGCGGGATCTTCTCCAAGAGGTCATTAGACTCTCCAGCAGGTTCGTCCGTCTGGCAGGACTTTGTCCTTTCTGATCTCACTGAGTGAAGAGTTTCGTACTAGGTTGTGCTGCTGCGATCGTTGCACTAAGACTCGATGGACATGCTGGGCAATCCCTACGCTGTTCAGGAAACCCATCGGCAAGACCTTCGAACAAGGATAGCATACCTGACCTGCATACTCCTCTGGCACTAAACTGCTGGGCAACGCCTTGTTGAAGCAGGGGTAAGGGAACCAGCAAGGTGGCAACCCCAGGTTGTAAAAGAAACACCGCAGATCCTCACTTGAGATCACCAGATTTTCCCCTGCCTCAATGTGAAAGGGGGACATCCCAAACCAGTGCGGTAACGTCTGTATGTCACCCGCCATTGATTGACAGATGGCGTTGAGTGGCACTAAATTCATCATAAGCCGGTAAATGGGGATCCCGTTGGCCTCTTCGTTTTTCTCGACTCCAAAAAGTCCGTTGAGCAACAATTGCCCCTCAACACGAAAAACCTCCGACTCAGGGATCACCCCGAACACCCCTGCTTGAATGAGTCCTCTGGCAACGTCCTCCCAGTCGTGGTCACTCACCATCACCCGTGCCTTCTTGAAAGGTCCCCGTTCCGAAGGTGGCTTCAGGAAGGCTGGGAAATGCTCAAAATGTAATGGCGGCACCCTTGTTCACAAATGTCGGTAAGATGAACAACGCCAATTTCCTGGGGTAACGCGGGTTTGATATTGGACCAGTTGAACTTCAGGGCGGTTTTCACCTCGTCTCCCTTATAGTCTATGGATCGTGTACGGAAGAACTCGCCCCACTCAAACCCTGGTGTCGTCTCCTTCACCTCCTTCATCCGAGCGACGTCCTCCACCAGACCCGCAAGGATCCGAGCCTGCATCTTGGTGACTGGTCGTAGGTGATGAGCCCCATTCTCTTCCTGACCAAAGTTGGAATGACAACCCCACATTGAATTCAAAGCCATGCACAAAGACAAAAGGTGAAAGCTGATTGCGGGAGGTTGGAAGAGGGAACGTGTCATGGACCTTAATCCCTTGACTTTGATCAATCCCCCCCTCCGTGGTCTGGCTGCAGAGCTTCAAAACCCCCTGCAGTCCACCTAACACTGCCTGACCCATCTCCCAAATCTGTAAGCCGCTCACATCTGAAGGCGCACTTCTCTTTTCCGATCCATCTCGGATCAAGGGGTCTGGAGAACGCTGCATTGTCGTGCGTCCCGCTTTTTGAAATGCCCATAGGGAAAGTCACCGCTGGCACTGGAGGGAACACTGACGCGCTCCCCGGCGGCCCTTTCAAATTGGCGCCCCCAGCTGTCGTGTCGTGGTGCATTGCTCCACAAGGCCTCCAGCCTCGTCGGATCGTGCCGGCATCAGGGTCTGTATCCCCCGTCATCCTCTCCGGGGCTGTGCTTGCTCCCCTCTGCCTGTTGCCAGGGCTCTCCAACCCCGCCTCGCTCCTTCTCATGTCTCCTTCTTCTGTTTGTCCTTCCCTTTCTTGCCTTTGCCTTTTCCCTTCTCTCCTTTCTCTCCCTTCTGAAGTTCCTTTCCACTGCCCTTTGACCACTAGGTTCCCGCCTGATGTGCCTGAGTCTCTGCCTTGTGCTCCGTGGTCGCGATGCGTAACTCCTGCCTCGTTGAGAGCGTGGCCGTGTCGCTGGGCAGGAGTTCCAGGCGATGAGCTGATGCCCAGGGGAGCCCGCCGATCTGGGCTTCCAGCGACTTCACCCTCTGGATCAGGGTGTCGAGGGCTGAAGGCAGCTGACCTCGGAGGACTTGATCTCCCACTGTACAAAGTGTATGTAGTTCCCTTGCCATTGGACCAGATACACGCCTGCTGAGCATCTGTCGATAATACCTCAACAAAGTGGGGACCCAGCCCTCCGGCTGGTGGGTCTCCTGCCCCGCTTCCAGCAGCATCAACTCCTGCATGTCTTCGATCGCCGCTGCTGACAAGACTCCAGGGTATGCCACCCCGACTGCTCTGATCTTGTGCGGCTCGCCGAAGATCGCTTCGCCTCTCTGTGGTGCTTCGCTGCCGCTGCTCTTGCTTCGACTGCCTGATCTGCTCCTCTTTCTCCTCTGTGCGAACTTTTGGGCCCTTCGCTTCACGCGATTCCGCGTCCTTCGGGAGGGGTCCAGTCCACTCCGACCGAACATCGTCTTCTGGTCGACGACCACGTAGGACTTGTCTTCGCTCGTGCTGCTGCTGCTTGAAGTCTCCACAGGGCTCTTTCCCCCGCCTGCACCCTCTTTCTCCTTGTGACGCTCCTTCTTCTTTTCTCTTCCTCTTGATCGGCTCGCGGGACTTGGGTCTTTCTTCCTTTTCTTTTTTGCCGAGCTGCTCGAACTTTTCCGCCGCTTCTTTTCCTTCTTTTTCTTTTTTCGCTTGACGTCCCCCTTTGCGATGCCCTTCTCCTTTGAGGCGTCCAACTCCGCCAGGCGTCCTCCTCCGGCAGCAGGGTTCGGAAGCTCTTCCATCCGCCCCCGAAGCCCGGCCAACTCGTCGTCCCCTCGTTCGCCCGCGCTGATGAGGACGTCTCTCCAAGGCAGGTCTGCTACCTCGTGAAGGCCTCCGATTGCACGAGCTTCTTGACAATGAAGTATGCCTGGCCCCACGGTGTCTTGAGAGCACTCTGCATGACACATGTGCACCCGGGCCAGTTGACGACTGCCGGTCGCCCACGTGAGTAGGCTCTCGAGGTCGGTGCCGGTGAGCTTGATCATCAAATATCGCCCTGATATGTCCTTGTTCTCTTCGATGATTTTCCCCGTGAACTGACAGGGATTGTTGAAATAACTGGCTCTCACGCCATGAACTCTGACCCGATCACCAGGTCTGACTCCTCTACAGGGCCTCCGCCCCGCCTCACTTCCTCTTCCATGGCGGGCCTCCTCAACACCCCTCCTCTGCGGGGTGCCGCCGCTGGCCGCCGGGCTACCTTCGGTGCCATCCTTTACCCTTTCCTTTGCCGCGGCCTGAGCCGCGGTTGTGTGAGTAGTATTGCCCTCGTAGAACGTGTTTGTACCCTTTCCACCTGGGAGCTCTCTGACTCTCCTCCTGATAGTAACCAGGTGGGGAGTGCGAAGGCGTCCGAGGTCTTCGTGGCAAAGGTTTTCTGGCCGAGGGTTTTGCCGTTCTCGACAGGTTGAACTTCTTGTCTGATGCGTCGTCGTCCTTGACTTCAGGAGGTGATTCGTACTCCTCTTCTTCCCAAGGGGTTTGATCGTCGTCAACAACCTCCATGGGGCTTCCCTGCACTGACTCCTGCTCCTCTTTGACAGGGCTCCTGCCCCGATCTTTTCCTTTCTCCTTGGTCGAACTCCTCCTCCGTGAGCGCGATCTCTCCTTTCGTGAACTGCTCTTCGTCCTCCGTCGTCTCCTCCTCACTCTCTCACTATCCACCTTAGTGGGCTTGGCGTCTGCCACAGGCTCCTTGTCCTTGTCTCCTTCGCTTTCTTTCTTTACCTTGACTGTCGCTGATCCAGCACCTGGGTCTCGTCGACCGTGATGCTCTCCACTGCGAAAGGGATCAGGCCCCGGTGCTGCTGGTGCACTGTCGGGAGTTCTCCCAGGGATCGGAGCCCCGTCCTCAGTGACAATGCCCGCGGTTCGATCGGCTTCGAAAACCTTTCGCAAGCCCCCTCGATGTGGTCGACCACGCCCCGCAGGTAGTGGAACAGCCGGTCACCCGAATGAGCTGGTACACGGGTGCTGACCAGCTTCTGGATCCGGGCAGCCAAAAAACAGGGATTACAGAGCCCCGAGCTTCCTGCGGCCAGTCGCAGCCGTCCGTGGCACGAGCCACAAACTGCCATCCACAGCTGACCAGCCGAAACACTACGGAACAGACATAAAGGTGGCCTACTCTTTATTCCCGGGGGCGGGGGACCATATATGTATGCACACGTACACTGTACACACTTTCTTTGTTGCCTATGTCCACTTGCTAGCATAGCTGTATAGTGAGGTTGTCCTTTTTGAAGGGCAACGTGAATTTCGAGATGCTGAGTCTCAAAGAAGCAGAGAAATTAGTGAAAACGAAAGCAACAACACCAAAGTCACAGTGTCAGCACAAATCAACGCAAAGTCTGCAGCAAAACCTTGCTGCTCCAGGCCTCAACCCCATCAGGAAGCGAGAGGCTTGACGCCTGAGACTTTAGGCCCATTGGAAGACTTTCATTCTTACGTTCAACAATGATCAAGTTCTCAGCAATTCCATGCGAATAACAGCGCAAACGATACACTGGATGGAGATTAGTTAATACCCTGCTTCATCTTTCACCTTGGGAATTCAAACGATTCAAGTGTTCTGAGGGTTCTTGAGCAACTCTTCAGTGGGCCTCCTGCACTTCGTCCTGCAATGAAAGTAATTACTTTGGGTCTTTCTATGTCACACAAGCTCTTAAGGAAAAAACATGCAAAGGGGTATGCCGTATGCTTCCTAACTAGCTAGCGTTTCCCCATTCTTAAAGGCACCTCTAAACTTTGACTGAGGTTTGGAACAATATCTATGCTCCTGCGGCAGGTCCGTGTGCTCCGCCTTGGCAGTTGCGTAGTTGTTCTATGAGACACGCACCACTCAGGGCAAAATGAAACACCCCGAAGCTGGCTCTGTGATTGCCTGTTTCTTACTAAAATCATCTAAAATCTCTACATAATCTCTTCACAAAAAAAGAACAATCAGTGCCGTGAAAGAAGTCGTCTGTCGAGCTGTCAAGCCCACTCTTTCATGAAAGGGAATAGCATGAAACGGATTCAAACCCGTGGCCTCCAGAGCGGCAAACACCTCCTGCAGAACAAGGACTGTGGTACCACCGTTTGCTTCTGCGTGGTAGTCTGGCCATGTCCCGCCTCTATTCGGCACTGTTTGGCCTTGCCGCATGAAGCTTTGCACAATTGCAGAACTATGTGCAAGTCGACCAGAGATGCAAAACTCTCCTCAAAGCTTGTTGCGCTTCCTTCTAAGGAAAGCTAAGGGCATCACATCCAAATCGGGCAGCAAAGAAAAGGATCCCTGCTTAGATCTGTAGTTCAGCATTGGTGGTTCCTGCAAAGGTCAACCAAAACATACAGTAAGTGGTGTTGAAATGTTGGATAGAATATGATAGAATACTTATGAAGACTTCGAGCAAGCATTCCTGGATTTCGCCCGTCAAACTGCTTCTGATATAAATTTATGCAGCTTACCACTTATATAATAGTGGTACTGAAACGACTTGGACTTGAACAACCTTGGCTTTGTCCAGGCCTCCATCAGCCTTGTCTGAGCCTACATGAATAGACTCCAAACAAATGAAGAGAAATGGTATATAGATCATGATTATAGCCATTGTAGCATTGCAGGATACAAAGATTCGTTTGGCATTCTGGACTCTAAACGTGCCTGTTGGACCTGGTGCGGCATGAAGGTGTTGGTCTGAGATGCACATGCGTGCGGCATGCACACTTTGCCCCAGAAAGAAAATTGGACGAACAAACATGTCCAAGTTCTTTGCAGTTCAAGTCATAACTTTAGAACTCTAGAAATTTCTAGTCTAGAAATATATGCAGCAAAGAGGCCACTCTTGGGCACTCGTCCACCGGCACCTACACAGTCGCCAATGTATCTACAGTATCCGAATCATGTGTGCAATGATTACTGCAAGAGGAGAGCCTCTTTTCGTGGTGGCAACGATTTGGAAGATCTTGGAGCCCCTCTGGCAAATTTCGGCTGCGCAACTTGGCGAGCCTCCGCAACAATAGAAACTTCGGTTCAATAAATTGCAAAGCTGCGAAGCTTCAAAGGAAGAGGCACCATACCCGGTTTGGGTGTCTGATGGATCCTGAGGCAAGCGCCTTAGCAGCGGCTAGACTTACCTGGCTCCAATCAGTGGGGGCCCTTCCTCTGAGAGTTCCTCACTTTGCGTCCGAAACAAATCAAGGGGGGGACGGGTGACCACCCCCCCCCCCCCTGTCCGACCAAGGGGGGGTAGGGCGACCACCCCCCCCCCTCCTTTGTCGAGACCCAGACCCTGCTCCTATTGTGCCACGTCACCAATCCCTTGCTCCAGACGTTTCCCCTATACCGCCTTGGAGGTCCCTCCGAACAGCTGGGCGACTGCGGTCCCATTGTTTTGTCGCGACTGTGGTAACAGGCTCGTCACAGGCTCCAAAGTACAGCTGTTCGGTGACAGGCTTTCATGCGCACCACCACTCAAAGACTAGTGCCACATATGTCTTGACAGCTCTTTCGGTGGTACTAGTGTTACATCCTCATATAGAAATAGACTTCAAGTCGCTGGTACTGTTTATAGCAACTGCACACGGCAAGGAGTCTGCCACTGCAAGGAAAATGGTCTAATCTCACCGCGCGCCATCCACGCAACCAATGCCCAGCTTCTTGGTGTCCGGATTCAACCTTGGCCACACCGGCCGCCCAAGCTGAACGGGAGGATCCAGCTCAAAGCATGTGTTCGACGTTACGACTTGCAAAACAATGCAAGCTCCCAGAAATCATCCAGGTGTACATATGGCATAGCACAGCCCCAAACCAAAACCTATTTTTCAGAATTCCCGAAAAGCGTGGAGTGAATGGGGGCTGACAGGGGCTTCAGCTGACCAGTGTTGGCAACAATTATATATACACAGAACTAACCTCACGGAAAGTGCCACCGCCACAAATGTCCAGCTGCTTCAAAACAGAACCTACAAACCCTGTCGACGAGAGCGCAAAGAAGAAGAAACGCTGACCTTGCAGCACGGCCAAACTCCAAAGCCCAGGAGCCAAACCACTTTGTCAAGCACAGCTTCACCTTTGTCCCATGCCACCTGAGCATGGCACCCGCTGCTCAGAGCTTGAAACTCCAGACAAGGTGGATCGTCAAACACGTGACGGGCACCCCTACTCCTCTGAAAGCATGTGCATATAGCCCAAACAATCCCAAACACGATTCTGTGAAACAGGTGCTTTGGAAAGGACTTGACATGGACAATCGAGAGAACTACACATGAAACCGTTCGAAAGTGACAACTCTTCGAGGGGTCCCCACAATTGCCCATTCTCCACACGTCCGGTTCAAAGCATCCACGAGCGGCAGCGCCTCATGGCCAGCGTCTTGGACGTGGAGGGTGCAAGAACCTCTGCGATTCGGTTGCTGGCGCGTCCGGTATCAGTCCGGCATCGGCCGTGCCACTTCATTATTGGCGACGGTGCTCGGAGGGTTGGTCACTTCCGATGTTTTGATAACCCATCACAAAATCTCTACAACCGCACGACCCGTTTCTGCCAACCCATCCTCCGTTTGTTCCAACCAAGTCGCGTCCTTTTGCTGCGGCCCGCTCCTTTCAAGAGCCTGGGCCGCATCTTCCCATAGCACTGGGGAAGCGGGGGTAACAAGACGTCAATGTATCAAACCTTTCTTGAAATCACATGGGGCCTCATCAGTTGCGGCTCATGTGCATATCCATGCGCCTACTACCCCACACACCCGGCAAGGTATGATGTTCTATATACAGGTACATATACGTCTATATGTCGCGCGTAAACGTGTCCTTGCTGTTGTATAGCTGTTGCTGCTGTTGCTCTTGGCATTTTCGTGGTGAATCATTGATCATGAACTCACATGATCTTTGACACGTGACATTTTATTCAGATCCACTTTAAAATATACTAAAGGTATAAGGTATATAAAGTAGACCACCCTGCACTTACTAGCAACATTCAGACCAAGTGTTGGGATTAAATAGGGTTTGGTATTATCAGTTTGAAAATGTGTGATATTATTATTGTCAAAAAATATATGTACACACAGTACAGAAGTTCCAAGACTCTACACTACAGAGCGAGCCCCACTGCCCTCAGAGGCCCCGCAAAATACCGGGCCTGAGAGGGTTAATCGTTTACCAAGTTTTACACAGTTGCCAGTCAATTATAATCATCCCTTCATCGCGCGCATGACTTTTCTGTCTGCGAAGGCTGGATACTATATTGTCTTTGCTCAAGCTTTGCGGCGACGCGTCGGTGGCGTCATTAGCAAGGTCCTTTGCCTTGTCTGCCAGCCTGTACGAATTTTGCTGGGCGTCATGGGCAGGCTGTCACACTCACAGCTCCGCACAATGGCTCGCAAGGCAACTTTCGACGTCTCATCCAGGTAGGGGCCAATGATCAACATCCAGCAGGACAAGCATGCCATATCCATCTCAAGCATTTCAAGGCTTTCAATGAGCGTTGCCATCGGGCCAAAATCTGCCTTTATTTTGAGGGCTGTCAAAAGCCACTTGACTCCTTCAAAGCCACTTGACTCAACTGTGAGTTCAGGCACTGAAAGACAAGCCGTTTTCCACAAACTGCCACAGACGCATTGTGGGAAGTCCCACTGCGCTGCTCTCACATAGCACAAGATGAGCCAATTAATTATAGGAAACGGCATGTGCACTGTGCAATGATTCTCTAATTTCAACATCGATGAAGACGACGCGCCTCGGTGTCATGTATGAAATGGAAAGCAGGTGGTCTCGATGGTCATCTGCTCAATAATTTAGTAGGTCGCACTAAGATTGAGGTACAGTGTGTATGCCCAACCCAGCTTGTGAGTATGGGGTATGTGTCAGTTTCAGAAAATAAGTTGGGTGTGGTGTTTCAGTATTAGGGTTCGTTTGAATGTAGTGAGTCGTTTGTCACTCGTGATAGAGACATACTGACATACTACAAAGAACAAGTTGTGCTACAATGAGGCTGGAATTTGAACCATGGGTCAGCCAGCTTCGAGACCAACAAACAAATCAATCCAAGTCACACTTGTGTCAGTCGAAATACTTCGCCCTCATTCGACGTAGGCCACCCCCACAAACCATCGAATTGGCTTTCGTGTGCTCAATCACAGTCAGCTCATCTGCCCTTCTAATCACAACTATCCTCTCCAAGCGCTGTGCAAATTCTCGCGCTTCCCCAGACACCTCAAGCAAAAAACACCAGACAAACACTTTCACAAACAAAGAAACTTGTCCTGCGCACAAAACACAGCCAGTGTTGAGAGCAGCCGAAGAACAGACTCTTTGAGCTCTTGGATTCTTCTTTCTCTCCAGGTAGCCAATGGGGTACGATTGCACCAAGCGGATTTGGACTTTCTGGGCTTTTGTTGGAGGGGCCATGGGAGCTGAAAACAGCGGCAATGATTTGTCTAAGTCCCTGCCAAGCCAAAACCTACTAGGAACCTCATCCCACAATCAATACACATACTATAGGACTTGTGAAGCTCAGCTGAAGCAGCGATGCACCAGAACATGACAACGATTACACTCTCTGCAAAAGTCACCTTTCCACTCACGGCAGTCAGCGTCAAGAGTCATACAATGTCGACGGCATTGGGCCATGTCCGGAGGGCGCGCCCACTTGTCATCAGGCAGCTCTGCAAGCAGACCCACGCAATGCAACATGCGTGGAAGCACACGCTGGAGAATGTTCAGGCTCATGGCATCACCGAAAGCTTTGCCCAAATGAGGCTTTGAGTTGCAGGTCTTCAGCAACATCTTGATCCACTTTGGGTGCCACCCTTGCAGCATTCCTTGTTCAAAGACGCTCAAGAAGCGAGACCTGTCGAGGAGGTAAAATCCTCGCTCGCCACCACGTGCCTTGGTCAAACATGGAAAAATCCCCACCATCATGTTGAAATAGTTCTTTCCTGCTGCAGCATCGACTATGACTGGTTGAGATGTTGGCTGCATCTTCTTCACTCGCTTCTGGGCCTGCCTAATATTCCTCTTGGCAGACTTGCAGAGTTCGGCTGGTCGACAATCCGAGTTTGCTTCCGTCGTCATGCTTCAGGAACCGATTTAGCTCAGAAAGAAAAAGCCCTTCCAGGAACAATGTAACGCTTCAAGAGGGCTGCGTCTTGTAGACAGCATCTTAAAATAAAGTTCACTGTACTAAACGTTTTCACAGAAATGCTGCACAAAAAAATATCTATATAACCAACGTCTTATAAGGCGTATACAACGCGTATACAAACAAAACTATTTCCTGTGTGCCTGACGTGCTTTTGTCAACTGCGCCGGGCGCCGGTGCTGGGTACTGTGAGCTGGGTGTGCGCATGCCATGCACACAACACACACCCAGTTCTGGAAAAGACCAGAACTGGCAACACGCGCAAAAATCCTATTTAGCCAGTGTCGGACTTTAAAAGCCGACGCTGGAAGTAATACACACAACACACACCCAGTCCTGGAAAAGACCAGAACTGGCAACACGCACAAAAATCTTATTTAGCCAGTGTCGGATTTTAATAGCCGACGCTGGAAGTAATACACACAACACACACCCAGTTCTGGAAAAAAACAGAACTGGCAACGCGCACAAAAATCCTATTTAGCCAGTGTCAATTTTAATAGCCGACACTGAAAGTTGAGTTGAGCCCAACGATTCCGAAAGAAAAAGAAGATGAGTTGCACCTTTCGGCGCTATTTTGCACCTTTCGGCGTACTAGTTACAAGTAGTGTTTGTTGGTTATTTTGTGGGCTGGGCGTGCCCAAGCTAAGGCCCATGAACGCCAGCAGGACGAAGATGCTAATTCCTGAGTCTCCTGAGTTCTGGTGATCACAACCCTTTAGAAAATCTAGCTTTCAGGAGCTATGTTCCAAATAATGTCCAGTGCAGACGTCAGCCAACCTGCCACCCCATATGATTTCGGAGATAAATAGAAACATTATTTTGCACTAGACCCCCAGGATTCAATTCTGGGAGTACAGACGGGGATCTTGTCATCATCTCCTTTACAAACTGGTTGTTCAGGTGCACTGACTGAGGCTTGTGCGCATCCTATGCGTCGTGGTCGCCATCATAGCACCCTTCGCCTTTGCGGCGCTGACCTGAGGCATTAGAG